GAAAATAAATACACTATTACTAGTACATATTCTACCACTGGCAGTAGACATTTTGTGAAATTAGTTTGGAGATGATCAACCCGTCATGCATGATTTCACTTTGTTTCATCTTTATAGTTTTTCTTAGCATTATGTTAGTTACAGGTGAGGCCTGGAAGGGCATATCCTCTTTTACTCTAGAGAAGTTTCTGTATCAGTGTTTAACATCAGAGCCAATTTGTCCTGGTTGTAATCAGTTGTGTCACGGAGGATTTTAGCAAAGTCTGTTTGAAGTTATCTAGTGACATCAGGCATCCCTCCTGGATTTGACAGCTGTCTTCATAAATTGTTAGATCTGATGCTTCTTATTTTTGTTGAAGGTCTGAGAGTCTATTTTTATGCTTGTGGGCTTTTTGAACTTTTCCATGGATTTTTCTTTCTGTTATGTAAGGGCTCTTTGCACTAGAACTTTGGTGAAAACAATCTATTTAGCATGGTGCTACTGGTATTTATTTAATTGTGGGCCTCTATTTTGGTAATAGAAATGTGGTTAGAAATCCTTAATGTTTGTATGTGTTTTAGTAACATTTGAAAGTCATGAGTTACTCCAAAGACATACCATTGGTCTATGTGTGTGTGTGTGTCTGAGTACATAAGCATGTATATATATTTACCACTATATTTATTGGCAATTTAACATGCTCTTGATAGGGCTACAAGTTCAATTTCTTGACTTGATTTGGTTTATGATGAAGAGATTGAGTTCTACAAGATAGTTGGGCATATTATTATAAGCCCATCTTGATATTGTTCTTTATTATTTTAAGGCAAAACCCATCAAAAACAAAAATATCACAATTAGTATGGGGATGTCCAAAACATCTGTTCTAAGATGGACACTTCTTAAGTTCTAGAAAAAGAACCATGAGATTATCCTTCATTAAGTAAGAGTAATCGAGTTAAGATCAAATTGTATTAAGAATGTTAGGTCAAGGCTATACCCAAGGTCTGCCATGATGAAGTCTAGGTTGTCCCAAACAAGTACCACTTGGCACTCCCAATGGAGGAAGCAGCTCACACAGCTGCAGCCCAAATTCTTGTACCTCCTCTTATACTCTTATATGGAGACAAATGTGCAGCTCCTGTGGTGTTGTGACCAGGGCCAGGACTCAATGGGGAAGCCAGGTGGCTGGCTGGTGACTGGGGTGAAAGCTTCACTTGTACTTTTTGGGGTGGAACCTTTCTGCCAGTGCTTAAAACTTTAATGGGAATCAAGGATAGTATGTATGAGGAAGTGAGAGTGCATAAATCATCTCTAACTTTTTCCAGCTTTTTTTTTCTCACAAGACAGACCATGTTAAACTTACATGCTATCCCAACTGTGATTGATCTTCAGTTACAGAGAGTGAGAGCAGAGTGTTACCAAGTCTGAGGATGTCAAAGTAACTCAGTCCTTTCACGACATACCTACTGATGTCCTGTTTTCAAACTACTTAAAGACTGCCTCATCCTGCCTCCAGGATGTCATCAGTGTTTGATGATCAGTGTCATTCACAGGAATTTCTTAAGTAAACAAGCAAAATGAGCCAACGGTGGGGAAAATATGACTTTTATATTGGTCTGGGATTGGCTATGAACTCCAGTATTTTCCATGGAGGGCATTATGTTTTGAAGAAAAAAATGCCATGTGCAACTTGCCAGAAGGTCTCCATGGGAGCACGTCAAGGTGGTCATGCTAAAGATTTTTATTTATTTATTTGACAGAGTTACAGACAGAGAGAGACAGAGAGAGAGACAGAGAGAAAGGTCTCCATTCCATTGGTTCACTCCCCAAATGGCCACCACAGCGGGCGCTGCGCCGATCTGAAGCCAGGAGTCAGGTGCTTCTTCCTGGTCTCCCATGTGGGTGCAGGGGCCCAAGCACTTGGGCCATCCTCCATTGCCTTCCCGGGCCACAGCAGAGAGCTGGACTGGAAGAGGAGCAACCAGGACTAGAACCTGGTGCCCATATGGGACGTCGGCACTGCAGGTGGAGGATTAACCTAGTGCGCCATGGTGCCGGCCCCCGGTCATGTATATTTTAAAGAATGGTTGTGCAGTACCCATCTGGGATATTGGTACCACAGACAGCGGCTTTATTCGCTATGCTGCAGTGTAGCCCCCAAACTTTTTTTTCGTAATACCCATTATTTTTCATGAACTTTTTCAAGACCTCTTGTATGCATAGGTTTAAAAAAGTTTTGCAACAACGTAAACTTTTCTTAAAAAAAAAAAAATGGTTGTGGTGGGCGGGGCTGCTGCCAATGGGAGCTGTTGAGGTGACCCACTTTGCTGCATATATATTTGAACCAGACACACAAGTGACTTCACTAAGAGTTTCCTATGTCCTCCTAAGTGCCAATTTTTACTTCATAATTTCTAAATGAAATGCTTAATTTTCATGGGGAGATTGGATGTTTTCTAAGTGTTTCAGGATCTACAGTTGTAGTCATTCATGTTTGTTTCAAAAGAGGAGGAGACTGAGTCTTTAAATGAAATCTCACAACCTGGTTAACCCACATTTTGTGGGCTTTGCAACATTTGTGGTCATTGTGTCCTTGTTGTTCATCTTCATGGTAGCACGTTGCCATAGATAAATATGCCTGTGTACCTAACAATCAACTCTGTCACTGGAGATGTTTCAGTGTCCTATTTGAAGGACCTGGACATTGCTATCAAAGAGCTATTTACAGAAAACCTGTGTTGCAGCATTCCTTGGCCTGGATCCTGTAGCTGAGCCTGGTTGTCTGTGTGAACACACAGATTAACAGGGCCCTGGACATACTCAACATTTCCATTGTGACTCCAGTGTGTTACATATTCTTTACGGTGCCGTTGTAACATGTTCAGTTATTCTTAATAAGGAGTGGTAATATATGTCTGTGATGCTATCATTGGTACTCTGAGTCATTTCTAGTCATTGTGGGGATCTTCCTGTTGCATGCCTTTAAAGATGTTAGCTTTAGTCCAGCAAGTTTTTCCATGTCTTTTTGAAAAAATGAAAAGGCAGTGAATGGCAATCTCCAATATTTGTGAGGTTCTTAATAATGAAGAAAGCTTAACCTGTGAAACTGAACAACACACTTTAAAAAATATCCGCCAAAGAAGTGGAAATCTTACAGCTTTATAAGAAAGATGTAATTAAGGAAGGTTAGATCAGTATTTAGGAATATGAAAAGAAGAAAATGATGAGACTTCATAATTAGTTCATCCTTGACAGAAAATGCTGGATATTTTCACTTAGCAACAGGGGTTGTACTTTATATGATATCATCACATTTGTAGATGTATGTGTCAGTTTGGGTTTTGTGGGAAAACATATCAAGATAAAATTAGAAGTACAAGAGCTTTATTGGAATCAATGCGATATTAAAGTGAGAAGGAGAGAGGAGTAGCCATGTAATTTAGACTACGAGGCAGGTCTGATTGTTACAAAAGAAGAGAAGGAAGGAGAATTAAGGACAATGCACCTCAAACTGAGCTATATTTTAGAGGAAGTCATTTGAGCAGCTCAATAGGGCGCTCCAGAGTAAAATTTCCCTTTAAATGTATATTATATTGGGACAAATAACCAGGAGTTAAAACCAGAGTGGCTATTGTGTTCTTGACTGGAACTTTGTGGTAAATCTCAACAGCATGAGTGGTGGAGGTGGTCAGGTGATTGCACTTCTTGTAGCAGGTTTTCTCTTCATGGGAGATTCTAATGTGATACTCACATTGCTGCATAGCCCACACTTGCACTGTGTAGATCCATTTCTCCCGTCAAGTTCAGGAAACAGATCCTCCTCAATTTCCATGGGCCTGTTTTCTTAACTGGGGGACTTAGCAGTGGGAGACTGGTGAGAATAACTATCATTTTGCCATTGTAGTTGATTTTAGGGCTGTAACTGGTATAGTCAGTATTAGTTGGCAGTTCAGAACTCATCTGATTGTTATGATAAAAGATTAGAGAGTTAGCATGTCCCTGAGACAGAACTCTAAAGGGATTTCATCTGTTCCATCTGAATGCAAGTGTTTCTGATTCTCACTCTTGATAGGGACAGACATTTTGTTGTTGTACCTGAGGCCATATGTATATGCTGTAACAATGCCACTGCATCTATCATAGTGGCATTGATGAGGACTACTAGTTGATTGAGTTTTCAGTGGTCTGCAATCATTCTTTTGTATTCACTCAGTTTCTCCAAGGCTAGGGTGGCAAATGAAATGGAGATATGATAAGGAACATTTTCTGTCTTAAATATGGTGTTTTATTTTTACTATCTTCTTGGGAGTGGGAATATTTAATTCATTTTCACTTGACCTTCTCCTCTAACTCCTACCCATAAGACCAACCCAATGTGAGAGTTATTTCAACTGCCAAGCATGTCAATTCTAATTATACACTTGGGACAGGGACATGATGGCTATATAGTTCTTTTCTTAAAAAAAATTATTCATTTATTTGAAAGGAAGAGTTACAGAGAGAGCCAGGGAGAGAAATAGAAAGAGAGAAATCTTTCATCTGTTGTTTCACTCCCCAGATGAACAGTTGGGGCTAGGCCAGGCCCGATCTGGGAGCCTAAACTCCATTTGGGTCATTCTTGTAGGTGGAAGGGGTGCAAGATCAAGTGGAGCAGCTGAGATTTAAACCTGCACTCATATGGGATGCCAGCATTGCAGGCAATGTCTTAACCCACTGTACCACAACTCTGACTCTGGCTAAAGACCAAAGAATGCACTGAAAGCCAGTTCTTTGTAAATCTATAACACTGGAAACTGGATTTTGTTCTATGGGTGTCAATATCAACTAAAAAACCCCGGCTTCTCCACTTCCGATACAGCTCTCTGCTATGGCCTGGGAAAGCAGTAGAAGAAGGTCCAAGTCCTTGGGTCTCTGCACCCACATGAGAGACCTGGAAGAAGCTCCTGGCTCCGGGCTTCGGATCTGCATAGCTCCGGCCATTGTGGCCATGTAAGGAGTGAACTAGCAGATGGAAGACCTCTCTCTCTCTGCCTCTCCTTCTCTCTCAATGCAACTCTGACTTTCAAATAAAACAAATAAAATCTTTAAAAAAAAGTCATTGAGAGGCCTTGGCCGCGCTAAGATGGCGACTCCCATGCATCGGCTCATAGCCCGGAGACAAGCTGAAGCGAATAAGCAACATATAAGATGTCAGAAATGCTTGGAATTTGGACATTGGACTTATGAATGCACAGGAAAAAGAAAATACCTACATAGGCCTTCAAGAACAACAGAACTAAAGAAAGCTTTAAAAGAAAAAGAAAACAGATTATTATTACAACAAAGCATTGGAGAAACCAATGTAGAAAGAAAGACCAAGAAAAAAAGGGCTAAGAGCGTAACCAGTTCCAGTAGCAGCAGCAGTGACAGTTCAGCCAGTGATTCCTCATCAGACAGTGAGGACACGTCTACCTCATCCTCCTCTGAGGACAGTGACACCGACGACAGCTCCTCCAGTTCCTCCTCCTCAGCCTCCTCCACAAGCTCTTCGTCCTCTTCCTCCTCCGACTCCGACTCCAGCTCTTCCAGCAGCAGCAGCACCAGCACAGAGAGCAGCTCTGAGGATGAGCCACCAAAGAAGAAGAAAAGGAAATAGAGTAGCCGCAGCCGGGGGACTGATGCCCCGAGATGCGGCAAGGTTCTGCGAGGGGCTCCCAGGGCGGCCCGGCCGGCTCAGCGAACAGGTCACGAGGCACAGAGTTCAAGTTTCCAAACGTTTTGTGTTGTCAGAGCATAAAGAGTGTTAATAATGGATTATAGAGAGAGACTTTTTTATGTTAAGGGGGAATCTTGTTTTTCTTTTTTATCTTAAGTATGTATCTCTATAACTTAATCAAAGCTGAAATCCAGTAAATCTGCTTTTGTGATTAAATTTATGTTTTTCCTCCCTGTGAGGTAAATGCTGTCTTTTGTTATATGTTAATAGTATGTTTTCAGCATAATACATCAGAATATCTTATCAATGAATTTCTAATGTTTTTGGCGTGTGTTACTATGTAAGATTTAATACATTGTTACGATGAGTTTAGGAATTTCTTACTGTTGATAAATGTGTCCTATTTTTATGTTTATGTTCAAAAAGTTATTCTGACTTTTTATCCTAAATGATTAGTTCAAGAAACCAATTAATATATTTAGACTTTTTGAAAGCTAAAAAAAAAAAAAAGTCATTGAAATATCTGGGCATCTCCCTTTCCCATGTGCAACTAAACGTCCATAGATCTAACTGGGGAAGGACGGGTGGAGTCACGGTGTGATACTTAACCATGCTTCTGCGGAGCCCTTTCTCCTGAGGAAGCACCCACCTCTTTATAGTCAATGAGTTCCAAATGTAAAACGGCTCACGTCTAGGAACTAAGCCAAAATGATGTGACTTTTAAATCTGATGAATACTTTAGCCTCCTGTTCTTCCAATCTTGCCTTCTTTTGTTTGTAGTTATTAAGCAGCAGCATCATTAACTGCTGGTCTCTTTTATCTCTGGATGAAAGAAAGCCTTCTTGGCTGCCCTTCTAAGTTTGCTTGTTGTTAAGATAGTTTTGACTCTAGTCTCTGGCAGGTGAGCACCACTGTCTGACCTTATCTCCCGTTATTCCCATTGCCATTTGTGAATCCAACACTGAGACTACCTTCCCTACTCTTAGTCCTGGACTGAAGTGGAAAACAACCATTCAACGTTTTTGTAATTTTAGTACTCCTGTCTCTAGTGCCTTCCTAATGGTTCTGTTGCTCAGTACATTTTTCAGCTTTTTTTTGTTGAATATCCTTTGGTAGAAATTCTGCCTCATATAAAATATTGTATCCATCTAATCCACTAAATCCTTTTCTCTATGTCTCAATGACTCAAGCATGTTTACTTTGCATAGTGTGGGCCAGTACTTCCCCAGATTTCTATGACCCATCCTATCAGCATTTTCACTGTAACCCAAGGGTCCTGGCCGTATCCCAGTAAATGCCTAAAGTCAATACATTCTCATTTATACAGTCTGGCATCCTTGATCCAACACATTCAGAATCTATTATGGGGATACTCTCCTTGTTCTTGCCAGTACAAAGCAGAAAATTCTTGTAGTTCCTCTGAGGCCTACTTTCTGTTCTTCCCTGCCAGGCCTGGCACACCCCAGCAAGTGTATGCTGTGATTTAACCCAATTCTAAAACCCAGGAGATGTGACGACATTTCTTAAGGTGGGCGCATGATAGTTGGTAAAGAAAAGTCCTTCAAAGTGTCTTTCTTTACACAAAGTTAATGGGGGCCGGCGCCATGGCTCACTAGGCTAATCCTTCATCTGTGGCACCGGCACACCGGGTTCTAGTCCCGGTCGGGGCGCCGGATTCTGTCCCGGTTGCCCCTCTTCCAGGCCAGCTCTCTGCTGTGGCCAGGGAGTGCAGTGGAGGATGGCCCAAGTGCTTGGGCCCTGCACCCCATGGGAGACCAGGAGAAGCACCTGGCTCCTGGCTTCAGATCGGCGCAGCGCGCTGGCCGCAACACACCAGCCGTAGCAGCTACTTGGGGGGTGAACCAACGGAAAAAGGAAAACCTTTCTCTCTGTCTCTCTCTCTCATTGTCCACTCTGCCTGTCAAAAAAAGATAGTCTTTAAAAAAAAAAGTTAATGGGGAAGGCCGGTCCTCTTTTCAGGCTCTGGTTCCAGGTATTCTCAGAACCACAGTCCCAGTTTTTCTTATCCTAGCCAGTGACATTTTTAGCAGCCAGGCCTCCACCTTGTGTTGGGGCATAGCCTTTGCCCCCCATGCTTAGGATGGGGGCACTTCTGACCACCTACTTGGTAAATGAGCCATTTCTCTAAAACCCATCTGATTACCTGCTTTCTCCAACCATTCCAGGTACCAACTGTGTTAGGTTGAGTTCTTCTAGGAAGCATCCACAGAGACAGAAATAGAAAGCATCCACAGAGACAATTTATTGCTGATGAAGCCTATAACACACAAAGAGGAAAGTTAACAGGAATAGGGAAATTCTTTAAACTCTACTACAGGGTTGACCCCTGTGAAAGAAGGTATGAAATGAAAGGACATTGGATAGAAAGAGCATAAGACTGAGATGTAGCCTTAAAGAGTGACGCTTAGATTGGCAGAAAGCTCTAGAAGAAAGATCACCTATCACAGGAGGCTTGCGGAGGCCAGAGATGGCTGCATGTTCGTATCCTTGTTGTTCTAAGTCATTGGCTGGCATCTGTCTGGGGAAGGTTATTTTTGCGTCTCACACAGCAGCAGATCCTGAAGCTGCTACAGATAGGGGCTTTCAATAGGCTCTGCTCCTTGTTACAGGTTTTCCAGGAAAGGGACTTCTGAGTAATGTGCTTTTGGTCTTTGTTTTTTGAATTATCCATCTTTTATTTTGTCAAGAGCACTGAAGAGCAATGGCCATTTCCTTTCACTTGTGATGTATAAAGCATAAGATATACTTGGCTTTGGAAAAATCTCTAACTACCCTTTATTGTCCAATTTGCTGGGAAAAATATGGGTGTTATCACAATTTAGGTTTTGGAAACTCCAAGGGGCTTAGGGCAGCACTTGAGGAGGAGGAAAGGATCTAAGAGACAAGGTTTACTAGAGAAAGCTGTCATCTTACTTTCTTTTATTTGCTACAATATGTGGATATATATGCAGGCGTGTCTTAGGTATAATAATTGGCTTGAACAAATAATCCGATCAAGCTATTTTACTGGTAATAGTCCCCAAAATAGATTCAGGTAAAATTATATATCTATGCACCTCACAGGCTATCCAAATTTGAGATTTGAATTCTGAGGTCATAAACATAATTCAAGATATACACTGACTGTTACATGATGATGAAAGTGGGCTGAAGGAAACCACAGGATTCAGAACAATTAAACTGCATATTTTGCTTGCTTTACACTCACAATGTGAACAGCAAATGTTGTATATAGCTCTTTGATGTGATGCCAGTGAAACCAAGGGTGTAGGCTTTATGCAAAAAAGGGTCACAGGAACACAGGCAGAGAATCTGAAACAGTTTGCTCATTTCAGCTTGTTTTTCAGAAGATGTTTCCAGGAAAGCTTATCTTGCAACAACTGCATTCATAGGGGGCCAGACCGTGATAACCAAAGGAGATTTGCCAGAAGCCAGTGTCAGTCAGTTTTGAAGGTATAAAATATGAAGACTGTGTTGCTTGAGCAGGAAGGGCCTTTTGCTTCTCTTTTCTACATCCTGGATGTATACTGTGAGCAGGAAAGGCCTTCCCAGTTCCCGTTTTCTCATCCTGGATACCCCCTCCAACCCTTGCCATTAAAACACTTGCAGACTGCTTCAAGGAGGCAGTTGTGGGAAGTGTACCTCCCCATTGTCTGCTTTACTTGTCGCAGTAAATAAGGCTTTCCCATGACCCACTTCTGCTTGAGACTGATAATTTGACGACACCCAATATGAAGAGAGCCCTTGTGTCCACTAAACCAGGGGCTTCTTGAACACCTAAGGTGATTGCATGGTGGAAGAGTAAACAGCTGACATCACCTGCTGGAAGCTTTGCCAGACTCGGTCCCTCTCTGCGTTTCTTTCTTGGGTTCTTGCTTCAGGTTGTAATCAGGCTGATTGCATCTCTAGCCAGTGTGGAGCAGTGTGGTTTCACAGAAGAAAGGCCGAGGTGTTTTTTGTTTTTGGGCAATCTGTGTTTTTGATGGTGAAGACTCCCTCCGTGGTCTTTCCTTTACCCATGTGGTGGCTAATTGGTGGGAGGCAGCTGCAGAACCACAGCCAGGTGTTTCAAACCTGGCATTCACAATCTTCCCCTTTCATCCACCTGAGTCTGTAATTTCATTTTCTTACCACATATTGAAGCCCCCATCCAGTTCCAACATTTGTAGATGTCTTATTCACACACCCCACCTTTCTAGGATGTCAATATTGATCAAGAACCTTATTGTTACAGAGCTGAACTGGAGCTAACAACTCCAAGCAAGCAGGAGCAATGGGGGCTATGCTACCTACCTCAGACTGTTCCTGCCGGTCAAAGCCATTTCCAGCTTGCACCTGCACTGGCCACTTTTAAACTTTTATGCTGCTAAATTAGGTGTGGGCTAGAGGCTTAGCTTTACTTCTTACACTTCAGTCCGCCCCCCCCTTTTTTTAAAAAAAAAAAGCTTAAAAATTTATTTATTTATTTTAGGGAAGAGAGAGAGAGAAAGAGACAGTGAGAGGACTTCAAGCTACTGATTCACTCCCCAAATGCCCACAACAGCCAGGGCTGGACTGGGTCAAGGCTGAACTAAAATCAGAAGCTGGACACTCTATCCTGGCCTCTCATGTGGATGGCAAGGATCCAACTACTTGAACCATCACTGCTGCCTCCTAGGGTCTGCATTAATAGGAAGCTGGGATTGGGAGCTAGAGTTGGGAATTGAACCCAGGTATTCCAAAATGGAATAAGGGCATCTTAACTGCTAAGTCAAACACCCATTCTTCAGTCTCTTTATCTGGGATTATTTCCTATCTATTTGAATATTATGCATTAGAATTTGCAGAGTGAAGTTTTTGCAGTTGTAAAAAAGGTTTTAATGCCCCCCCCTTTGAAAATGACAGGTATAGGTTGCTAAGTTATCTTTTCAATATATGGGAAACCCAAAAAGTTCATGGAAAAATGGAATGAAAAGATAATTCACATTTTTCTATGAATTTTGTGAAGGTACTTCCTATGAATAGTACCTCACTCTCTTCTACCTTCCTTGCTACTCATAAGAGTTCAACTGCTATTCTGATTTCCTTTTGAGGATTATCTACTTCTTCCTAAAGCTCTCTAGCCCCAGTACCTGCAATGGGGAACCAGAAGAGGCTTCTGGATTCCTGGCTTTGGATCTGCCCAGCTCTGGTAGTTGAGGCCATTTGAGGAGTGAACCAACAGATGGAGAACCTTTCTCTCTGTGTCTCGCTCTCTTTGTCTGTGACTCTACCTCTCAAATAAATAAATAAAATCTTAAAAAAAAAGACAGTACATTTTCTTGATTTTGTTATTTTGGGCTATTTTTTATCTTATATCCTGAAAGAATCAACATTTTATAGAAGAGTAACCAATTGGATTCCCCAAATTGATAGGCTATAGGATTTAGTTCT